GGTCTGAATACTTTCCGTACCCACTGTATATATATATATATATATATATATTTATATTTATTTATTTATTTATTTAGTTAGTTAGTTAGTTAGTTAGTTAACTCGTGCACATGTGTTCCCAAACCTCTATGACAGTGTGAAACATACAAAAAAAAGATATTTTGTAAAATGCCTGCGTTTTGTTTGTCCACACAATGAAAGTCAATGGGGTCCAATGTTGTTTGGACCCCAGTGTTCTTCTTTTGTGTTTAGTAGAAGAAAGAAAGTCATACCAGTTTATAATAATGTGAAGGTTTCATTTTTTAAACAATCCCTTTAATGACCTCCATTCTGGTATGGAACACCACTTTTCACCATCCAGTCAATTTCCAATGCTTACCACCCTACTTTTTTTTTTATTGTTACGTTTCCTTATTTAGAAGTAAGTTACACGAAATTCAAATGGCTTGTAAATGCAGTTTCTTCTCGACTTTAAGTATAAAAAACGGAAAACTGAGGTTTTAAGAGAATCAGAGAACAAAATGAAATAGCACTAAAACTGTTGAATACATTACTCTGAAATGTTCAAAAATATAAAACATTTACAAATATCGATTCATAAGGCTGTCTACAAAGGTACATTCAAAATAAAGCATCTACATCTCTACAAAATATACTAAATAATCAGAATTGTACTCTCATATGCAGACCTATAAAGAAAATATCAAATGATCTGCAGTGCAGATAACAGTAACATTTCACATTCAATCGCACACACCAAAACAGAAGAAGTGTCTGCGCGAGCGCCACAGCTCGACACGCGTGAAAATCTGCATTAGCATTTTAAAGAGCTTGATTTAATCCCATTAAATCCAGTTAGATTTCATTTCGCACCTTCAATAAAATATCGCCGCCTGCCACAGAGCTGCCTAATGAGGCTTAACAGCCTTTTCATTAAGCAAAGTTATTAAAGGTCTAAACATCAGCGCTCCATCAAACGCAACACTGGAGGCCATAAAGAGAAACAGTAGGATATGATTTCACACCGTAAGGGATCAAAGCCGCGTGATGGCGTTTACATAAAGGACTGTTTTGTTCCCATATGTTATACCGTCTGTAGCGTTTAAAACCAAACGGACCGCCCCATGCATTACATTTAACTTCGTTTTGGTGTATCTAATTAAAAACGAAAATGATTTAAGGAACATTTAATATTCCACAATTGGAAAAAATAAATCATTGGTTTTGGTCAATTAAGCAAGTGTAGTTAGAGGTTGATCACGCTCTGGATCTTTCATGATGGATGTTAGAGCCTCCAGAGCTTCGACGGTCACAACTAGATGGCCAATAACTTCACTGCTGTCCTGAACGTCCACAACTACAGTGAGGGACAGAAAAAAAACACAGAACGTTTTTACAGTCAGCAGATGGCACTTTCCATGAATAGGGTACAGATTGTTCTTTCATTATATATAAATGCATGAATATCATGTTCTTTAGAGAAAGAACTATTACATATGTTAGATAAACATATGTTTAAGAAATGTAAAAATTTAAGCACATTAAATGTCTGTGCCTCCTCAATGGTCTTGACGTTCTTGACTATATGCAAAAATGAATAACAGAGTAATAATTTTGATAATCTGTTTAATCGATATTCAATTAAATGTAGGAAAAAAAATATTAGTTTGACCAAAATTTAGGTGTTTGCAAAAATGTGTATGCCACCCTGTTATTAAATTAATCAAAATAAAATCATGTAATGTATACTTTGACCTTCTATGTTGGACAAACAACATTTTCAAAGGTTAAACATCTCTTTTCACTGATACGAAAATGACCAAGTATTTCAAGATTTGAGATAACATAAATAAGCACCACTGTAATATTCAAACTAAACTGAAACTTTTGTTGTGACTGGAATTTTGTCATGCCATATAAACAAACACTTACTGTTGAGGCTGACGTCCTTCATGTCTCGGTGTTTCTCCATAATATCGAGAATACGCAGATAGGCCACGCCCACATCCTCACACTCCTCGTCCTGCTCCTCCTCTTCAGGAGGGTCACTCACCATCGTGAATTTTATACTGTCACAGCCAATGAAAGAGTCAGCTGCTTACTTGAGCTGGACAGCCCAGTGTAGTATCTGCTACAACTATATACTTTACATGACAAATTAATGAGCAACAGAGAAACTGATTATAGATCAGAAAGAGTCTCACTGCTCAAGTTGTCTTTTCCGGCCCTCCAGCACTGCCCTTAGAGTTTGCCGTCTGGACTGGTTACTCTCCTTATCCACATGGATCACTGTCAGAACATTGTATGTTGTTTAGGTCTCTTTCTTTATTTTGATGAATTACTAATAAAGATTATGTTTATTTGGCATTATTTAGTAAAATAATACAGCGACAAGAACCGATTATGTGGCCAAGCAAGGTATAAAACAGTATAAAATTCAAAATGGTGGGCAGTCAATGTGGCTGATAAATGTGCTTTGGATTACCCCAGTGTTTCTCAACCCTGCTCCTGTAGT